TGGTAAAAATAAGAAAGTGAAATTTATTATATAACATATAGGAAAACTCTAATAGATATTAGCATAGTAATTTGATTATTAATTTCCTCACAAAAAAAAAAAACATAATAATTTTTTTTTTTAACCAAACACAATAAATTTTCCTTCCTTTTGTTATTTTTCTATTTCATCATAGTTTTTATTATAATCAAAAGCACCCAATACATTAGGCTTATTGAGCTCTCGTTTGGGAAGTGGGTTGGCTTTTTGGCTTTTTGACTTTTTGGTTTTTTTGGCTATTTTAGCCTGGGCTAAAAAGTTTGGTTTGGGAAGGACTTTTTGACTTTTTGGCTTTTTGACTTTTTTTTGTGAGAGAAGAGTGTAATGATTATGGGTTGGATGTGATGTTTTGTTTGTTGTGGCTAAAATAGTCTGTTTTGTCTTTTGTGGCTATTTTAGCCCCAACCCACTTGCCAAACACCACCTGAATGACCATTCTATTATAATATCTTTTCTTACGTTTTGTTCCTTCAAACGTAATGAAAAAAATATATACATATATTATAAATAAAATCATTATTCATCTTGCAACAATTATTTCATTAAAAAGATAATATTATCTTACCATAATCAAAGGCACCCATTAATAAATTTGTGTCTGTTTGGTGCAGCTTAAAAGCAGCTTATTTTAACTTTCAGCTTAATTTAAGTTATTTTGATGTGTTTGGTTTAGCTTATAGCTTATAGTTTTTTGGAAGTCAAAAATCACCTTATTCTTTGAGTAGGACAGGAGATGCTTAATTTTTAAATCAGAAATCAGCTTATGTTCATAATTATAAGCTATAAGCTGTTTAGACCTAAGCTATAAGCATTTTCCCACAGCTCTACCAAACATTATATGCAACTAGATTTTTAAGTAAATTATAAAAAAAAAAAAAAATCTCTTAAAATTTAAAAAATAAAAACAAAAATATGTTAAAATTTAAAATTTTAACATAATTATAATAAATTTATATAAAAAAATTTAATTCACAATCAAAAATTATAACGCTTATTATATTTCTTTTATAAAATTCAAGGGTAATCACTATAATTTACCCTAATTTTTTTCCCCTCACAATCAAATTTGTTCACTTCACAACGAAGATATTCATGCTTTTAAAAATTAAAAAATAAAAATAAAAACTGAAATATAAATAGAAAAAGCAATATAACAGCTCAAACCATAAAAAAAATCAGGACCGTTTATTCATCATCTTATCAGCAGCCTCCTCTTTCTTCTTCCTGGTAGCATAATTCTTAGCATGAAAGTCAACGAAAAGAACCAAAAGCGAAGCGTTGAAAACCGCATTGAAGCACCAACCCCAGATCCCGGAGCACCCTAATCCGGTGAAATGATAATACAACATCAAACCCGACACCGCAAAGCTGAACACGAACTGTATAATCTGACAGTCGGTCACCAATCTCTTCCACCACGGACGCTTCCCCAGCGCGCACAATAAGTAGTATGCGTACATTAGCGTGTGAACGGAGGCGTTGGTAACGAGCGCCACTGGGAGGAGAGACTGTGATGTGGAGAGCCACAGGTAACACATGATAACAACCACGGCGTGGTGGTACACGTGGAGGAAGGAGAGCCGTCTGATGCTGGTGTTGAGGATGATGAGAAGGGTGTCGATGAATTCGAGGAGTTTTGAGAGGTAGAAGATGTAGGCCCAGAAGAAGATGGGCCCAGTGGGCTTGGTTTGGTTTTTGGGGAAGCAGAAGATCCATTTAGGGTTGGGGATTTGGGAGAGGGTGGAGAGGGAGCAGCCTAGAGCCATGGTGGCGGAGAGGAGGAGGAGGAGGAGGTTGTGGGCGGCGGAGATGCGGTGGAGGAGGGTGGCGGAGAGAGGAGGGAGGTGGAGGCGGTGGTGGTGGAGGAGGAGGGTGAGGGTGAGGTAGGTGAGGACTGTGAAGGTGAGGAAGTGGAGAGAGGAACCCCATGTGTGGCCTTGTTTCCACTCGAATTGGCTGATTGTTGGGTGGTCTACTAGCCAGTAGTGGAGGTTGAAGGAGAGGTTGTTCATTTTGTGCCTCCACGCGCCGCCGTGGAGGGAGGTGGTGTATGGGATGAGAGAGGTAGAGAGTGGATGCTAAATTGGGAAATTAGAAGTGACATACAATGATAAGGTTTTTTATATATTTTTGGATTATTATATACTATCGTTTAAAAAGATTTGGAAAATTTGCAAGAAAAGTCCTAGAGTATGGCTTAATAACAAATTAAACACTAAAATTTTAATATCTATCATATTAAATCCTGCATTTTTAAATGAGTTTCAATTCTATCCATTTGTCCAAATTCGTTTCTATAAGTGACGAAGATGGATAAATTAGTCTTTTTACCAGCTTCCTCACCATTGTCCCTCCTACCACTATTGCACTTTCTTCTACATTTCCTTTAATTTTTTTTTATTTTTTTTATTTATCAACGAAATGAAATTTTATTGATAAAGAAAGCATTACATGTAAAAGTTTATATCAACAAAGAAGGAAGTGTAAAGAGCATCAATGCTAACCTTAATAATCCTAACTAAGTTAGCGCCGCTAAAGAAGCACAATCATTTACAAGCACTTGACCCAAGATTTGTGAGAAACCAATCAAAAGGAATCAAAGGAATGTTCATCAATCATTTACAAGCACTTGACCCAAGATTTCCCTTAACTTGTTTTTATTATGCCATTATTTTCATAATTCTTACTCCACTACTATTACAGCGACATTTATTCTTATCCTGATTTTCTATACACACCTTAACAATTTCACTAGATCTTAATAATTTTCAACTGATCTACACCAAATCTTTGAATGTTCATCAATGATATAGGATTTTTGTTGTAGATTTCTCGATAAGTAAAACATAGAAGAGGGAAGTGAGAAATAACAACCTAACAATTTTACAAATAGTAATGCTATGTAGCTCGAATCTGTCCTTTCCCGAATCTCCCTGAAATCAAAACGACGTCGTTTTGATTTTATTTATTTTTTTTTTCAGAAGAAGAAAATCAAAAAAGAAGAAGGAAGAAGAAGAGAGAAAGAGAGACCGAGACCAACATCAACCATTCATCTTCATCATCAACATCATCATCAGATCCAGAAAAAAAAAAAAAGCAGATCCAGAAAAAAAAAAAAATTCAACCATTCATCTTCATCATCAACATCACCATCATCAACATTTTTATTTTTTTCCCTTCATTTCAGATCGAGAAAAAAAAAAATTGGGCTGGGCTGCGACGGCCTCGACGCTCGATCGGCGGAGGCGGCGGCGATCGGTGACGGCCTCGACCCTCTCTCTCTCTCTCTCTTTTCATCTTTCCCTCTTTTCTCTCTCTCTCTTTCTCTTTCTCTCCCTCTCCTTCTCCCTCTCCCTCTTCCTCTCTGCATTTCTGACACAAAAGAGGGAAGAAAAAAGAAAAAAGAAAAAAAAAAAAAGAAACTGCCCAAAACGACGTCGTTTTGGACAGTCGGGGGATTCGGGAAAGAAAAATTCGGGGAGAAAATCATTTTCCTTTTACAAATCTTCATTGGGGGGTGGCACTGGCAATAGGGGTGATCATTCATCGGGTCAGATTCGAGTTGGGCCATCACTACCTAATAAAAGACTTCATGTTTACCCATCCCGCTAGGCCCAAGCATCGAGCCTATATAATCCAACCTAAGCCCGACCTTGAATAAATTATAATTTTCAAACCCATCTCGGGCCATATACATAAGCTATAAAATAAAAAAATAAAAAAATTAAACATCATAGTACCTGTTATTTTTTCATAAATAGACAAAAGCCTATAATACAACTAACCATTAAAGATATCATATTAATTAAAACATTGCAAATTTTTTAAAACCAAACACACCCATAATTCCAAAAGTCTATAGTTTTTTAAACCAAACTATTAGTAATGCATCAAATTAAGAAAAAATATCCATAATTTAATCTTCAAATTTCTTCAAACATTTTTTTGTGAATGTTTTCAGCAAAACAATGACTACTTGAATATTTTACAAATTACATGGCCAACAATAAAAGGGTATATATATATTAATATATTATATAAATTAAATTAAATATGTAGCGGGTAGGGTCAGATAAAAAATATAATTTTCAAATCCGACCCATTGATCAATTTGATTGAAAATATCAATCCAACCCAGTCTTATAGGCTAAAATAATATTTTTAAATCCAAAAAAATAGAATTAAATTAAGCAAGTCAACGGACCGATACCCATCCTTAGATGGCAATATGTAGGAGAAAAGGAAAGAAATGTGAGGATGGACAATGGAAAAGGGAAAAGATGTCAGTGGTGGAAAAGGGAGAAGATTATATAGGGTTCAGCCCTATTTAAAAATTTATTATTTTAATTAACTTTTTATAAAAAAATATAAAAAAAAGAAGATATTTTAACAATTTATAATGATTTTTTGCTACATACCTTTCTTCTCAAACATAGCCTAATATAGTGGGATGCATGATAGGAGTGTTTTATGTTTTTTTTGAAGCTCATGATGGGAGTTAAATAGGTTGTTAAGATGATTTGATAAAAAGTGGCTGTAATTTACTACAAGAAGGTAGAGGTTTGAGATTGCTAATGGTTTGAAAGAATGAGTGAGACGTGTTAAAAATAAAAAAATAAAAAAACTTCTCCATTAGTCTAATTTAAACGAAGATTGTACAAATAATTAGGTTTAATTTGTCAATTATACATTTTAAATAAAAAGTCAAAAATTATTATAATAGAGCCAAATGAATATGTACAAATGCTCACAACTGCCTACAAATCACTATATAATATAAGAATACATTTAATCTTTCTAGCTTACCAACCGAGAGTTGGATTTGTTTTATTATAATTAGAAATGCACATGATTAAATTAATTAATAAAATAAAACCCTAGGTTCTTGACACCACTGTAGCCAATAGCTTCGACAGAAATTTCATTTTTTATCTCACAAAAACTCAAGAAATTAGATGCAATTAAAAAACTATTTTACGTTCGCTAGTTTGTCATTCAACACCCCTATGAACTAGACAAAAATTGAGATGATCTTCAACTTCAAACATCAGAGTACACTTCTAATCATGATACAAACACATTTAATCTAAAAATAAATAATAATAAAAAAAGAGGCAAAAAAATTAGGCAATCTTATCTAATATTCTCCTCATTTCAGTTATTGTTCCTTGTAAAATGCCATCTCTCTTAGCTGCTTCAACTTCTCATGGCAAATCAAGTTCAAGTTGCATAATCGGCCTACAAAATTGAACAATTTGCTACCAACTAGTATAAAGTAGCTATGCCGAACCTGCAGTTACCTTTTTCCTGACAACTCTCTTTCTCCGAGCCTTGGGAGGTGGTGCTTCCCCTTCGACAGCAGAGTCGCTTTGCCCTTGTTTGATGCCGAGAAGCCCAAGCCCTGAAACTATGGCATTCTTGGATATGAACCAATTTGAAGAAGGCTGACTAGCAGGCTCAGATGGTCTATTATATGCCTTTTGTAAGAGGTCGTCTGAATGAGCTAGCAGATCCACCTCTACCCCAAGCCAAGCCAGCCTGGATCTCTCTCCTAATTGAACATTCAAAATCCTGCAGAAATTTCGGAACACCATTACACAATAACTTGATATCTAATGGGAGTGACCAGAAAAAGAAAATATTAGTTTAGAGCCAAAAGGTTTTGAGGGTTGAACATGGGATTCTCCCAACGTTTACCATACCCATAATCAGGGTTAACTTTAAGAAAAACTGCTACTATGTTTGTTAGAATCTTGCAATTCACAATTCGATTCATATGATTCGATAAGAGTTTCAACCAAAATGATTTGATTCATATTATTGAATCTTAAATTAAATGAATCTTACAATTCAATTGCAATTAGTTGCGATTTCATTCTGGCTGCATAACATGGAACCGCGTCGTTATGGTAAAATTGAAAAAAGAGATCAATTAATTATGTTAATATATGCGATTTTATATGTATATACACGTATATAATTTAGTTATATTGATATTTATTTCAATTTAAACACTATGCGTACTTTTTATGTATATATAATGCTAAATAAAAGTGAATCTTACGATTCAAAATTCACTATTTTAACAAAATAATTCAAAACTCGATTCGCAATTTGACAACAATGACTACTAATTATAAAGGAAAGAACAAACCTCAAAGCAGTACTGAAAACCAGTGGCACTCCAATAACATCAAAATAATCAATCATTGCTCTATCGATTCCACATAGCAGCTGATACCGCAGGTTTGCATATAGGCCAAGGAAAGCCCCATAACCAAGTGCATTAGTATTCACAGAAGGAATTGTAACAGACAACCTGCCAGATAACATAATGATTGCCGAAACTTAAACCAAAAAGGCATCGAGTGAATGGAAATTGGAAAAGATACTCAAAAATGTTAAAACATAACAATGAAACAAATAAGAAGATAAAAAAAGAAACGTATCCACAGAACATTGTTTACCTTCCCTCTTTTTTACGGGCACACAGATTTGACAAAGCAGCTTGCGCTGCACCAGAAGTAAATCCGACCATACACAACTCTGCAGCCTTGTAAAGAAAAGAATGGATTCGCTTTTGCAGGTCAAATTCTCTAAGCGGGTAGCTCTTCTCAAATATATTGTTCGGAAGTTTTTGCAATGTGTTTTGCAAATCAAATCGGAATGTGTGTCCATATGAACGGCAAGGAGCAAGTGACCACACAACAATAGCATTGCACGCAGTTACAGTGAGAACATTAATGAGCGCGAGATCCCAATTCTTCCTCTTCTTGTGGTAATGGTAAAGCAAAAATTATTAAGTCAATGTATGTAAATAAACACATAATCTGGATTTTTACTTCTATCTTCATAGTCAGAATAGGGGTAATTACAGGTGAGTGGACCTTTCAGAACATAATTACAGATGGACCTTTCAGAACATAATTACAGATAGGGCAGCAAATGAACAAAGCTGCAAATGAACAAAGCTGCAAATAAACACAGCTGCAAATAAATAGAGCTATAAATGAACAGAGCTGTTCGTGAACAAGCTCGAGTTTGGCTCAATAAAGGCTCGTTCGAACTCGGTTCGTTAAATTTTTATCATGTTCAAGCTCGTTAAAATATTAATAAACAAGCCTAAACATTCGAAAGCTCGGCTCATTAGCTTGGCACGTTAGTTGTTCGTTTAACATTTATTTAAATAATAAAATAAATATATTATTATATATTAAATAATGTAAACCCCAAGGGGTTGGCCTAGTAGGTGCAACTTGGGGCCTAGGGTGTGCTCCCTCTAGGTTTCAGGTTCAACTCCCATTAGAAGCAATCCGCTCCTTGGGATCACGTTCGCAAGCTCTGCCCGAGATTTATCTGATCCACATGCAAGGGGTACTTTGTGTGGGTTCCGGGATTAGTCGAGATATGCGTAAATTGGCCTGAACATCTGGTCATCCAAAAAAAAAATGTATAAAAATTAAATTTAAATATTTAATAATAATTTTCACCTAAAAAATTGAAAAAATAAAATTTCAAAGTCTATAAAATTATTTTAAAAATATGCCTTATTTAAAATTATTGCTTTAAGTCTCAAATTATATTAGGTCCCCCTTGAGGAGACTAATTGGGTCTAAAATTTTTAGTAGTCAA